GTGGAGAAGCCCTCAGGGGCAATCGGGGCGGCAGCCACAGCTCGCGCTCACTGACGGCGCCAAGCAATCGGGGCCAGCAGCAAGTGCAAGCGCCAGGCAGGACCGCAGTGCACAGGAGCAAAGAATTTTCAGTAATCACCAGAGGTTTGCCCTGATGACAGCAACTGGTGCCCCACTTTGGTCTGGCGCCCCCACTTACCTGCTCCACCATCCCACCGTGGCCAATGCCTGCCATGTTCCACACACGCCCCCTGGTAGTCAGCGCACATTATAGTGACCGGTTGTTTGGTTGTTCTGCTGGTTGGTCTATTTGCATATTAGCCTCTTATTATATAGGATTTCTTGTAGATTTTTGGTTTGTGGTTACCATGGGCTGCATATATAGGAAGCTATGTGTATAGTAGTCTATTTTAAGTTGATGATCACTTATGTTCGAATACATTCTAAAATCACTACCATTTTTACTCACCCCCTCCCCATTTATATTTTTTATCATTATATCTTGCTTCTTTTGTGTGTTTTTGTGTATTGCTTAATTTACTTTTGGAATTATACATGATCTTTCTACTTTTGTCTTTTAACCTGTGTACTAGCTTTAGTGTTGGTTGATCCACTTCTTTTCTGATATTTGTCTTAGTAAGAATATTTTTCTTTGCAATATTTTCTTATTCATATTTTTTTTCTTCTTCTTGGAGAAGTCCCTTTAACATTTCTTATAATACTGATTGGTGGTGATAAACTCCTTCAGCTTTTTCTTGTTTGGGAAGCTCTTTATCTCTCCCTCAATTCTAAATGATAGCCTTACTGGATAGAGTAATGTTGATTGTAGGTCCTTGCTTCTCATTAGCATGTTCATTTTTCAAAGAGTCTGTGAGTTGGTGGATTTTTGAATATTTAGTACTTTTAAAATATTTTGAGAAAAAATTTAAAAAAAGAAACATAGAAAGAATAACATGGCACCCATATTCCCACCACCTGGAATTATCTCTTCACATTTACCAAGTATTATTTAAGAGTTTTTAATTTAAAAATAATGAGGCATTATAAAAAATTAAATTGTACTATTCTATACACTACCTCCCAAAGCCATTCTCTTCTTCCATTTTGCTAGTAATAATCCCCATCATGTAACTAATGAGTATCTTTCCAGTCTGTATATAAATATAGATAGATGTTTATATGTATGTTTACACACACATACAGGCATCGGTGAACAATACTGTTTTGTGGTTTCCATTTATAAACATGCACAATGTAGCATATTGCATGCACAGACAAGAGTAGGGAACATGTATTGCCTGATTGCACTGTGCCTGGAGCTGTACTATTTCCATCCTTTCAGTGACTATATGTAGCAGGCTGCTGTTATCCCCCTTTTTAGGAAATCAAGGTGCACAGAGAGGTCACTTGTCCGGGGTGAAACAGCTAGTAAGTGGTGACACTCAGCATTAATCCCATAGCCAGGCTCTGGAGCCTGAGCACTTGGCCATCATGCTACATGGCCTCTTCACTGTGTCACTCTGCAGAATGCTTCAGTCTCTCAATATCATGTTTCTGATATCTGTAATTGGGTTTTTTATTAAACTAATTGGGTTGGCATTGGTTAAAAAGAATATATAGGTTTCAAGTCTACAATTCTATGATACGTCTTTTTGTATATTGCATGATGTGCCTACCACCCAATCTCAAATCTTCCATCACCATATATTTGACCCCCTTTTTTATCCTTTACTACTCCCAACTCCCTTCCTTCTAGTAACCACCATACTGTTGTCTGTGTGTATGAGTTTTTTTGTTTGTTTTTTCTTATTTGTTTATCTGTTGCTTTCAGTTTTATATCCCACGTATTAGTGAAATCATATGTTTCTTAACTTTTTCTGTCTGATTTATTTTGCTTAGCATGATACTCTCAAGATCTATGTGTTGTCACAAATAGAACTTTTTTATCTTTTCTTATGGCTGAGTAATATTCCATTGTATATGCAGGTGTGGGCAAATGTAGGTTAAATTGCCAGCCATCATTACCTAAAAGGTAAATCACAAGTAAAGATACAAAATAATAACAATAAGAAGAAGAATAAGACAAATAAATAATACAAGAATATTTGCATATTCACAGCTATAAACCTATGCTTGTCAGCCCCCCCACCCCACCCCATGTTCCACATCTTCTTTATCAATCATCTATAGAAGGACACTAGTTGTTTCCATGTCTTGGCCACTGTAAATATTGCTGCAATGAACTTAGGGATGCATATATCTTTGCAAATAAATGTTCTCAAATTTTTTAGGCAGATCCACAGAAGAGGGGTCACTAGATCACATGGTAACTCTATCCTTAATTTTTTGTGGAGCCTTCATACTCTTTTCCATAGTGGCTGAGGACCTGAACATATTTCTCTCATGTAATTGTTGATAAGACATTCTGTCAATAAAAATAGGTCTAGTTCACAGTTATCCCATATTCCATTAAATCAGTGGTTCTCAACCTGCGGGTTGCGACCCCTTTGGGGGTCGAATGACCCTTTCACAGGGGTCGCCTAAGACCATCGGAAAACACATATATAATTATATATTGTTTTTGTGATTAATCACTATGCTTTAATTATGTTCAATTGTAACAATGAAATTGGGAGTCACCACAACATGAGGAACTGTATTAAAGGGTCATGGCATTAGGAAGGTTGAGAACCACTGCATTAAATGAATATAATTTTTTAAAAACAGTATTGCATGGTGATTAAGACCTATAAAATAAGAAGAGTGAAAGTTCCTCTATCACAAGGTTGTCATGAGAAATAAATGGTGTAATTCAAATAAACCAGGTAGAACTGTACCTGGCATGGAGTAAGCACCCAATGAATGTTCGCTATTATTTACTACTAGGGGCCCAGTGCACGAATTTGTGCACCCTGAAAGAAACTGTGGGCTGTGAGTCTGCGGTGGGCACAGGGGCGGGTCTTGGCCCATCCTCTGCACCCCCGCCCAGCCCCTCCCACTGCGGCCCGGGTCCTTTGTCTGCCAGCAGCCCCACTCCCATCACTGCTGCTCCCATGAACTAATGGTGCTGGCCCCGCTCGCACCCACTAGCGACGCAGGACGATTGGGGCAGGCACCAGCAGCAGGTGCAAGCGGGACCGGCACTGTCAGTGAGTATGAGTGGTAGCTGTTGCCCTAATTGCCACTCAGGAATAGAGGGAGGTGGAGAAGCCCTCAGGGGCGAGTGGGACCAGTGCCAGCAGCAGGTGCGAGCACCGAGAGGGACCGCAGTGCATGGGAGCAAAGAATTTTCAGTAACCACCAGAGGCTCACCCCGATAACAGCAACAGGTACCCCACCTTGGTCTGGCGCCCCCGCTCACCTGCTCCACCATCCCACCATGGCTGACACCCACCAGGTTCCGCGCTCTGCCACCTGCTGCCGATGCCTGCCATGTTCAGCGCATGCCCCCTGCTGGTCAGCACACATCATTAGCGATCGGTTGTTCTGTTGTTCCACCATTCTGTCTATTTGCATATTAGGTTTTTACGTATATAGATTACCATCCATCTGTTACCCACTGAACCTAATCATTAGGTTTCCAGTTTTTCATTATTGCACATATCACTGCAGTGAAAGCTCTGTGTCTGTATAAAAGTTTCTTTGGGGTATCTCCCTAGAAGAGAAATTGATGGCTCATAGGGTATGCATGTTTGCAGTTTTAGTTGATTTTCCGAAGCCTGCTACACCAGTTTACACTTCCCAGTGCAGTTTGTCAGTTCTCATTCCCCCACATCTTCAGTAACAGTTGATACTGTCTAGATCCCCAGCCTCTGGCTTTGCTAACCCACTTTCTGTCTCTGGATTTGCCTATCCCGGACATTTCACATTAATAGAATTATATAATACGTGGATTTTTGTAGTTGCCTTTTTTCACTTGCCTTAATGTTTTTGAGGTTCATCCCCTTTGTAACATATATCAGCATTTCATTCCTTTTATGGTCTAGTTCATTACGTGGATATACCACATTTTGTCTATCCATTTTTCAGACGATGGAAATTTGAGTTGTTTCTACTCTTGGGTATTATGAATAACGCTGCTTTAAACATTCATATGCAAGTGTTTGTATGGATATATATTTTTATTTACTTGCCTATACATATATTTACATACTTAGCAGTGAAATTATAGCGTCGTATGGTAACTATGCTTAACATTTTGAAAAACTGCCTAAGTGACGGTGCCATTCTACAATCCCATAAGCAATGCATCAGTGTTCCAATTCCTCTAAGTCCTTGCCTCCAACACTTGTTATTGTCTTCTTCTTTTATTCTAGCCATCCTAATGAATGTAAAAAAGTATCTATCTCGTGGTTTTTATTAGCATTTCCCTGATGACTAAAAATGTCTTTTTTCATGTGCTTATTGGCCATTTGCATGTCTTCTTTGGAGCAATGTCTATTCAAATCCCTTGCCTATTTTTTAATTGGGCAATTTGTTCTTTTGAGTTGTAAGTGTTCTTCATGTATTCTCAATATAAGTCCTTTGTCAGATATATGATTTACAGATATTTTCTCCCATTCTTTGGGTTGTTTTTCACTTTCTTGATGTAAATTGGTGAATTTTCATATTTTTCGTTTTCATGTCTGCTGAGTAGCTAGATCACAAGTCAGATAGCCTTGACATGCACGTGGAGAATAAAGTAACTGCATCTAGTTTTCTGTAGATTAAAAACTCCTGCTTTGGACACAAAAGCACAGACTTTCCAAAGTCATCTAGGTGAGCCCCTCAGCCAGGGAAGGTAATTCACCTTTGATAACACAGAAGATATGCCTTGACACCTAATTAGAGTTTGAATTTAATAATGAAAAGCATTGAAACCATTCCTTATATTTCCAAACTGTTGATTAACTCAACATGATTTGGATTTCTGTTTAACCTGATCTCTTCCTATTTCTTCTTTTCTTTTTTCCCCTCCTTCTTTTTCCTCCTCTCCCCTCCCCACTCCGTCTTAATTTCAGATTGAAAATGGCTCAGGAATCAGTCAGCAAGTTGACAGCAGAGAAGAAAGTGGAGACAAAGAAAATCAATCCCACGGCCAGTCTGGTGAGATACATTTTTCAACATAACCTCAAGATTTTTCATTATAACTGATGTGCGCCCAGGAGTGTGTCTGAATTGAAAGGACAAAACTCAGGGGAATGGCAGGTAGTGTCCAGATTCTCAGTTTCCACCCCAGAGTAGTGTACAGATTACACACATATATATATATGTGTGTGTGTGTGTGTGTGTGTGTGTGTGTGTGTAGAGAGAGAGAGGAACAAAACAGCTTCATGTGTTTGCCACCAAACTCAACAAAGGTCATTTTCTAATAAACCAAACTGAGTCACTTGTCATTTCATACCCTTCCACTGCCCTCCCCCCACATGCCATGATCCCCCTCATCTCAAAGCACCTTTCTCCTGAAATGTTTAAGCATTTCACTCTCATCAGTTTCCCCAATGAAAGAAAAGGGCAGGCTTATCCTCTTTGGATCAGTAGAAAAACTGAGATGCAGAAAAGATGCAGTCTACCTGTATCACTTCACAAACGGATAACAAAAGCCGGGACCACACTCTGAGTCTCAGAAGTCCCTCCCTGTCCTAGAAAACAGCAGTCTGGTCTGGCTTCCTACCTGTGGGGTCAAGTTGTCCTCCAAGGTCATGTTTTCAGGGTAGATCACAATGAATCTCCACCTGTTTGTCACAGAGAATAGTTGGAATAGCTAAATGGTTATGAACCCAAGGTGTCAGGGTTCAAATCCCATCTCAGCCACTGACTAGTTGGAAAACCTTAGTGAAGTTTTTGCTTCTCCCTCTTCTGTGAAAAGAGGGAAATAATATTATCTTTGCTTTAGAGTGATTTTGAGGAAGGTAGGAAGAGACATGCAAAGTGCCTAGGATGTAATAAGAGCTCAGTAAGTGTTAGTTCTTTTCCTTGTTATCATGAATTTCGGCAACTTTGGTTGGCGCTGCAACGGAAAACAGCAGTGAGTGGAAAGTGGGAGTATCACTTTCCTCACTTTGATTTTCAGACCCTCCTACGACTGTGCCCTGACCTCCTACAACTACTTGGTGTTTCCCTTTTGTGTCACAAGTACTTTTTGCCAGCTGCTTCAACTGCTGTGACAATCCAAATGGGACAATAAGTTATAAAGTGAGATTATTTCTGTTGATTGACTGTGGTGTCTCTCATACCCCATCAGCAGCTGAATGAAATGTTGAGTGAGGTTGGTGAGTGAGAAATAGAGAAGCCAAGGCCACACAGCTTGGCCTGCAAAGGCAGTGGTTAGTGCAAGAGCCCCTCCGTGCCCATTGACACTCTGTTCATTACACTCACTTGTAGGATTTCAGTGACAGTGGGCTCAACCCTGATTTTTACCTTTCATCGGACTCTTCCCCTTTCCCTAGGCCTCTTATTTGGATTTCTGTCCTAACTTTTACAGCCAAATGCATGTCCAGGGGCAAAGAGAATGGACATAGCTCAATAGATCAGTAATTTTCAACTGGTGTGCCACAAGAATGTTTAAAACATGCAGTACCTGACTGTTTACTCAGGGTTGCTGACCTCATTTCCTTTAGATTGCCAGATTAAAAAAATGTCAGTAGCCAACATAACAATAGCCATCCAGTGTGAATGAATCAAAATTATACCCTATTTTTGTTGTCAGATTGACAAAAAAAGATAATATATTTTTTTGGTGTGCCGCAGAATTTTAGTGATTAACTTATGTGTGCCATGAGATGAAAAAGGCTGAAAATCGCTGCTCTAGATGAAAGAGACTCCATGCTATTCTTTTGTAGGTGACCTACACTATGAGCGAGCTCCCAATTGCGATCCTCAACTTGTTAGGGTTGTTTGTTTTGTTGTTTATTGTGGTAGAAATTAGGGAAGAGCTCGTAAACTGATTCCTGACTTAATTTCATAAGACAGGGATGGGATCCAAACTAGGGATGGGTGTTTAAAGTCATCAACATGCATTTGATCTAAACCAATATAATAATTCTTTGTAACATGGTATCTCCTAGATCACAAGTAGCTAAGGATCCACTCTCAAAGGGCTTCTCTCTGCCTCTGCTCTTCCGGAAGGAGTGTACTTCTCCCATTTCTCCTTTAGCCTTCTATTCTCCCACCCCTAAGAGCAGACATACCCATCACTGTGCTTAATATATTTACTTCTCTAAAGCCCTAGACACGTGAGGGCCTGTGTTTCTGTTTTGTGTCCTTGTTTGTGTTTACATCTTGCCAGCAGACTTCCACGCTCTTCCCCATGAGAAGTTTGTCCCTGGGAAGGAAACTCGGGGAACACAGAGCAGAACATCTACGGTGAACGGGAGCTCCTGCCATTCTGCATAGACCATGTCTGGTCACCTTCCAGTTTGACTTTTCATTTTTAAAGACTCCCTATTTCTTGAGCATTCCATAATTCCATTAGTGGGCCAAGGTTAGGAATGGAAGGAGCCTTTGAGTAACACTACAAAACTATGACTTTTGTCACAGAACAACAGCCTGGAATGGTAATGGTCAGTGTTTCAGGTGGATATCCTTGGTTTATGAGCTGGTTATTATTTTGTTGGTTTGTTGGAGAGTGAGGGTAAAGGTTGTAAGGGGCAAGTAACTGAAGGTTTCAGGAAAGAAGGCCTGAAACACTCTTATTTCTAGGGCATATAGTACAACTCTAGAATTCTAGCCCAAAACTTTAGAAACTTGTCAAAATTTGATGGAAAATTAGAAAAGGAATGATAATAAACTTTTTTTTCTTAAACAACAGAAAGAAAGACTACGTCAAAAGGAAGCCAGTGTGACCACCAACTAAAAAGGAGACACTGAAGATAACAGCAAGACTGAGTACCTTGCTTATCCTTTGCAACACCAGCACTGCAGGAAGTTCTTGAAAGACATGTCACTAAACGTTGCTTTTGCTCATGGCTTTGTGAGGTCATCTGCAGTGAGAACCCGTGCCTTCCCAAAGTCCCTGGTTAAGCCACAGAACCAATGACAAGCTGTGTAAGGGAAATTGCAGGAGTATTTGATGATTGTTTCTGTAGAGGCCCAAAGTTCACTTTGTTATAAGACCAGAAGAAAGCCCCAAGATTTTCCAAACATTTTTTAAAAGCAAAGATTCCAAGCTTTCTGACCCACTCTTGATATATGTAAATTTGTGACCGAAGAAGAGAGGGCTCTTACGACAGTTGCCTTGAGAGAGTTCAAGCCTTTACACACTGCTGGTTTGACTGTTGATCTTAATTTTGATCCCATTGCATCAAGATCCTGAAGTGTCTTTCTCACCAAAAATGTTGACATTTACCCAAACTATTTTTAAAGAGGTCCAAGACTATGGATTTCCCAGAGGAGAAAAATGGTTATCTTATTGTTGTTCATGTTATGGAAAGGAGAGGAAATGGGATTATACATGGTGGAGAAGGGGTTAAATAACCATAAACTTCATAAACCTGGAGAACAAATTATGGTACAGGGAGTTCACATCAGCCATTAAGCAATTAATTGCTGTTTCCTGGACCATCGGAGAGTCTCTCCATCCCAGATTCCGGAAGAAACAGTGATACCTGAGCACGGAGACACTTGGGGTCAAAGCAGTTGCTTGGACAAGTGACCCAGTAACAGAGCACATTTCACGTTTCAGAACATTCATGAATGGGCAATGTCTTGATGATGTGCACCTGAGCTCTACGTCATGTTCTGGGACTGTGTGCGGCCAGACCTGTCCCAGCAGCCCCAGGAGGCAGTTTCCAGACAGGACTGCAAATGTTACTTGCCGCCTTTTGTTATGACCTTGACCCTTGACGGACAGCCATGTGACAGAGGTCTTTGGTGTCTGAAAAATTAAGTTCAGAAAAGTTCTTTACACGCAAATGCAAAGAAGGTGTTCACATTAATGGAATGCCATGTACATGCAGCTTTTTCAGACCCTGGGAGTCACTGTCCCTTGAGTCACAAGAGAAAGGAATCTACCTTGTGAGTAGAGAAAAGAGGGGACTGGGGGTGAATTGATAATAAGATCAGAGACTATCAGGTTTGGGCCTTGAAGGGAGAGAGGTCAAAGCTTTCTCCTCCAAATGATGGAGCAACAACCTTAAAACCCTTCCCAATCCAGCTGCAATGTGTGGCTTGACCCTTGTCCCATGATCTTCCCAGAACCTCTCAACTTCCAGGTGGCTGAATGTTTACCCAGGACATGCCTGCCAGGTATCAACCCCCTCAGGGACCCATAACAGATCCAGCTTATTAAAGGGGCACCATATCCTAATATAATGCCCGTCTTGGGAATCAAGAATGTACAGTCAAGATCCAATCAAGTCTCTGAAGCCATATCATGCAGGTGCTAACCACCTTTTCAAAAGAAAAGAATATGGTAGCATAGTTGGGTTGTTGTTGTTTTTCCAGTTCAAAATAAAAGGATGAGACAAGCAAAATAGGAAAGCTGATAAGAAACTTACATGACTAAAAGAAGTTGCTTGTGAGCAAGAAGCTTTTTAGACTAGATTGTTTTCTTATATTGTTTCTTCCTTTTCCCTTAACTGTGGAGAAAACCTAAGGAATTCATCAATTGAAAACAAATTCCACTTACAGCCATCCTGGGCTCTGTGACATGCCTTTTGGTATTATCGTGCAAAAAAAAAAAAAAAGTGCCTGTTTTGCCCATGCCTTGGGAACCAGCTTTGAGTTCAGTAAGACCAACATATGTTTGGAAACATGTGTGTCCTTAGAGACCTGATGGGAGACAGCTGCCAGTGGCTTTCAGTGGAGTCGCCATCATCCACTTTAAGTCTTGAAGCTGGTGCTCGTAGGAAAATCACTGAAGATAACCAGGACTGTCTCTTTGGCCACATAACCCAGCAGGAACATGCTCTCAGGGAACCAACGGGGAGGAATAACGAGTGGGGACATTTAATTTGAGAGTTAGACAAATGCAGCCCAAGGTGGGTTTTATCCTCAGGGATAGACTAGAAATTGGCAGTAAAATACCTCTTTCTAAAGAGCAAAGTTTGCCTGCCGATGTTGGGGAAACAGTGATTTTTCTAAGATTAGTCAAAGGTAATATGTTAGTACATTAAGACACCAGGGCAGGATCTCCATCATTTTCACCCAGTTTGAATCCTGCAGTATGTATCTGGACCCCCTTCCCAATCCACACACATGCTGCACTGTTGACATCACCTTCATTTCTAACTTAAGTTGATCATCAGTCAAGGTTCGCAAGAGTTGTTCAAGGTAGGCCATCTAAAACAGCTTGGAGGCCTTAAAATATTCCCTCTAAAATACAGTTGAGATTGTGTTTAAACACAGCAGGTGTCTCTAAACTTCTCGTGGAGAGGAAGTTAGTTGGGGTACCACTAGAGCTTGAGCATTTCGGGTAACTAAGACTTAAGTGGCTGTTCTAAGCACAGCCCTCCCCGAACAAGAGGGAGAGTGGCCAGTACTGCTATTCTGCTTAACCAGACACTCACATCGGGCTTCCCAGTCAGACTCTGGGAAATCCTAGCTTGTGAACATCATCTTCTCTTCTAGCCAAGATTCATTACATCAGGGCACAGCTGATAGCAGTTCAGATTCTTGCATGAGTAATTGGCATCATCCCTCAAGCACACGAGTATATCATATATTAAACCAGAGCATGATGTAACTATCTTAGGTAGAAATAAGAAAAAACCTCAGGCCAGTGGGGTGTCAAAAATAAGGTTAGAAGGAGATGTGCTCTATAGCTTTTAACCCAAGAAGAGGCAGCTTACGGGAGGAGAAAAAAGGGCAGAGTCTGGTCAAGCAGAAATTGATGATGGTGACTCCCGCACCATCATAGGTGATGGACCTGCTGCCCATCAGTTGCCTTTTGAATACTTGAATTGATGTCCATGGTGTCTCCTCAAATGCTCGCTGCAACTACATAGGAATTATGGAGGAAGAATTTCCAAAATCCGAGAAGTAGGATAAGGGAACCTAGTGGTGCTGTTACATCTGGAAATGTTGTAGCCTAAACAAATAGGCAACGTGGTTGAGGAATTGAATGTCAGATTGGATGCTGGTCTCCCTTCTCCTGTTCCCCAAGTAGGGACAGTAGAAGCTGCACACCTGCTGAACCTCCCTTCAGCACCCCTTTGTCCATAAGTACCGTGAGGAAAGGCATTTTCTAAGTGAAAAGCTCATGTGCTGCTGGTGGAGAAACTGAAGGAAGGGAAGGAATTTTTGGTGGTATCGAAATCTCCCCAAAGATAGTCATCAGTATGGTTCTTCCATGTGCTTGGATGTAGCAGAAGAGATGTAAGTGTATTTGTGCACATCTCTCCATAGATTGCACTCCTTGCAATGAGGAAGTTTTTATTTCAATTATTCTTGCTTTCGTGAGTGTTATGTTTTCTCATTTCTATTTCTCCTTCCTTGCCCGGTGTCATTCATGCAGATCACTCCCTTAGTCAGTGGCTAGTCAGTGTGTGAGGAGGAATTAGCAAAACGGCAGTCTCTTTCCCAGTAACCAGGCTTTAACTTTGGCAGTGGAACCTCTTCACTCCTTGATCTAATAAGTTGGTCTATTTTGACCTACTCTCCCTTCCCCCAAAGATAAAACTGACTTAGGGCTTTCTGTGTCAAGAAGAGAGAAGTAAAAAAAAACAAAAACAAACAGCTTTTCCCCAAAAATATCAAATATACAATGTTATAAAGTAGTTTAAGTTGTCTTTAGGAATCACTAGGAAGAACTGTTAGATTTGAGTTTTATTTTTCTTTGGTCCTGCCTATTCTAATCAGAAGAAAAAAAAAACAACAAAGCACAAATGAAATAAACAAACAAAACACCAAGAACTGGAAGGGAAAATAAAAAGCATCAGCAGGTTTGGTAATCTACAAATTAATTTATTGGTTCCTAAATTATAAAAAAAAAAATGAGCATACTGTGAAATTCAGTGAGTTAATTTTGAAAAAGTCACGTAGAAGGAGAAGTGTCATGTTGTAGTAGAAATGCTAGACCATTTAAGTTTCCTTACTCTGGATTTTCTTAAGAGCAGTTTATAAATGCATGGAACATCCAGAAGACCATGACTACCACATTCCACATATTACATATTGTACCTTCAGGAACATTACCACTGAAGAGAGTGGATTCAATAAAGACATGAACTTCCATTCATGTCAGCTACTTTGTCATAAAGAAATCTGCAGCATTAAGAGAAACAAGTCCGTGTGGCCAACCTAATAGTATTTAGTAGGAATTAAAAAGTAAGAATCATTTTTAGCCCCTCCAAAATGCAAATAACTTGTTGGATATATGTCCGTTTTCCAGCTGTACAGAGAAACAGTCCAGCTGCTTGGAACCTTCTCTGTAATTGGGGCAGAAGTCACTTAAAGAAAAGCACCTTCAGAAACAGGCCTAGGCATACCTGGCTCCTTTAGGCCCCCATGTCAGTATGTACAACTACGTTAGCAATAGAAACCAGTCATGACTAGGCTCCATAACAGCTGTATGGGACTGAGCAGCCCATTTTGTGTCTTTTCTGCAGACCCACCAGTTGTTGACGCCTTGTCAGAAGCATTGAATGTTAGTTTCACAATTCTTCATTTCCCTCCCAAGGAATGGGCATTCTAACAAACCCTCCTCCCGATCAATGCTTTGCTGTTCAGTAGTGAATTCAAGAGAGTTCTAATATGTCCAACTTGAAGCTCATCGTGTGGTTGACAACTTACTTGAGAGCATAAAGATATTAAAATAGCAGCTAATTCACTCTGTCTCTTAAGTCCCTGGGAAATTTCTACCAATGCAGAGATCAGAGAAGCAAATCAAGCCTCATGCAGTAGGTTAGCTGTCCTCAGATGGAGCTTATTGGATTCATTTCCCCTCTTTCCCCAGCCCCTCTCCCAACCAGCCTGGTGATTGTAACATAGAGGACCTTTTCCCTCTTTCCTTTCTCTGGTATGATGACTCACTTCAGTCAGCAGTTCAAATGAACTCCAGGCTTTATTGCATATTCTCTCTAGGAAGTGCTTGTTCATGAATTTCTTCTCCACTCTATGACCTGGGAACGACTGACTTAGTCTCAGTTTTTATATGGAAGTGGTAGCTAAAGCCATTAATTTACTCTTCCACATTCCATCTATGTTTATATAATTTTCTGTTTGTTTGTTTGTTTTTTAATTTTCCCTCAATACTAAGAACCTCCAGTCTGCGTCTTTTTCTAAAAGCTGATCCAGATACTTAACTTCTATGGGCTTTAAAAAAAAAATGTTTTATGTGAAATTTTATAGCATTGGACCTGAAAAATGCAAATGAGCCCGTAGTTTCCTGTAGAAATTCACCTCCAAAGAATTTGGCATTCTTCCCCATGGAGTAAACAGCCTGCTACCAGACCTAGGCTGTTTTGTAGGCTGAGCATTTCCCTAAATTCTGTCTGTACAGACACCAAGGCACCAAGGGGTTCTTTGTCTTTGAAACTATAAAAATGTCTAAGAAGATAGTGAATAATTCTTCCCCATATATAGTGTGAGCTGCCAACGCATTATGCTCAGCAATGAAGAAGTCAAGTGTTTTCAGGTGTGCATTCATGGTGGCTTGTCAACATCTTTGGCAAAGTTGTACCTGCTTTCCTTTCTTGTTCTCTTTCAGGGCTTACTTCCATTCTTTCTCGTGGAACAACTATAATTTTATTTACCAATCAGTCAGCTTCCCAAATGAAAGCTATTCCCGTAGAGTACTGAGTGTACAGGGAAATTACTCTCTCCCTCCCCACGGCATGGATGATAGATGCGTTCAGGAATGAACTCTCTGAGAATTCTTGGGATGAACTTTGAATTCCAGGTCTCCTTCTGTGAGACATATAAAAATGGGTTTATAGCATACAAAAAGTGTACTACTCTTCCCAATAATAGACTAAAAAGATATTCAAAATCTTTACATTTTAGATAGGTTTAAGTGAACTGTAAATAGCTAATTTTTTTCCCTTGCTCCTTGGCAATTGGTCCCTAGCTATAGTCTTATCTCTTCACATCTGACCATCAAGACATAAAGAAGGTGGTCTCGGTCCCACTGAGATTCCACTCTGCATATTTCTCCAAAAACATCCATTTCCTGTGGAAACAAATCTATGAGTGAGGGGTAAGTCTAGCGACAATTCTCCTATCTGCCCACGGTGACACACCCAGGATTTTTTAGTCTACCAGAGGAATCAGACTATTCCTAGTAATTACTTTTATAATTCTGCAGTTCTTCAATTTCTCAGAACACAAATAATATGATTCTACTGTTAGTCAAATATATAATCTTCAAAGAATATGAGCATTTTAAAAAGGACTTCTCTTTAAAGAAACAATCTGAGATAATTCTAAAAAGGCAGAAACTTTTAAAATGAGAAATGAAATAATTTTTAAGACTCTTTAGACAAAACATGTCTTTGATTCATTATAGTCTTTTCTTTCATTGAGTTTTAATTTAGACTACTGTGGGGAGCAGCGTGCCCCTGGAGTTTGATTTAAGGAATCGTGCTTTGGCCTGGAAAATCAGCACTGGCCTGCACGCCCAGACCTAAGTGAAATCAGTCAGCATCCTAATAGGAATCAGGCCTAACAGAAATGTAAGTTATCTCAAGTCTTAAACGTTTAATTTTCTTAGCGACACCCTTTCTTAAAATGGACTCTGCTTTCTTAAAATGCACTGGATCCATGCAGTTATGTGTGTTCATTCAGCCTTGTGCGATTGCAAGCCATGGGCTGAGGGAGAACAGGTGACAGGGAAGAAGGAAAATTTGGACAAGGCCAGGGTGCACTGTTTGGCTGATGCATTGCATTGTTAGGGAGCTGGTCATTTTCGCCATGGTTGTACCAATGGCAGCTTAAGGAATCTGTATTAGGCAAATGGGAGTCCCCAGTGTCTCATAGAGGTCAGTACCCTAATGAAACTGGCCTGTGCCTGCTGAAATAATGTCATTCAATGTCAGTGTCACTGCCAGGGGTTGGTGGTCCAGGGATCTTTCCCTTTTCTCTGTGCCTGTCCTAAAGTCATTCTGGCATCTAGCTTCATTTCTGTTTTCTCCTTTCAGTACTGTGGCCTCCCCTTCCTTCATACCCCGCAGCTATTTTTTTTCTCACTTTACCGTTTTTCCAGGACCCAGCTTTTTACCCCTTTGCCTCACAGACAGCCCAGTGTCTCCCTGAGCCCTCACTCCCTCCTCTCACACCCAGTGCTCTGCTTCCCAGGCCTTTGGACAGGGCGCTCCTCTGTCACCAAGTGAGACACACTACTATGACTGCCTCTTGTTAATGTCAGCATCACCTCATCACTTAGGCAAAGAGGGAAAAGTCCATAAAAAGGTTGGAAAATACATTTCTTTTTTATTTTATTTTATTTTAAGAAGGTTAGGGGGAGGGTTGTTCTCGTCCTCAATTTCTCATAGATTTTACTTTAAAACTGTCTAACCGGGACCATTCTTTTGATAAATTACAAATCAGTACAGCTATGCTGCCTATGACTGAATTTTTGAAGCTCAGATACCTTTTCAGTGCTACTGGACACACTGCTTCAGTTTTGTACAAACATTTTGAATCATGGGCTTTTTATTGCCACTCCATTCTTACTGCTCACTATTCAAACATCTCCGTGCATCAGGATCAGACGTCAACAATTTGTGGTGGTTTTCAGATCAGCAGTAACTGTGACACACTTGAAAGGGCATAAAGAGAAAGTATAAGCACGTCCCAGATAGTCAAACATTTGACCTGGAAGTATATTAGGACCAATCTGCAGCAGTCATCTTGAAGGATTTTAAGCAATAATGAAGGCAGTTTGAGAAGTGAGGCAGCACTTTAAAGACATGAAAACTTACATGACACGAAACCTTACATGACATGGTCTTGGATATTTTAACTGTAATAAGCTAATTGGATTCAGGTATTTTTTCCTTTAAATTTTTTAAAAATATGTATTTCTCATTTGTTTGCCTATTTAATTTTGTCAGCGCTGGAAATGCTCATTAGTTGAATTTGTAAATGTCACTTGCAACCAAATGAAGTATTTATTTTTAAAAAGAAAAAGTGAAGGAACCAATATTGATTGTACATAATGAAAATATGTGTGTGCGTATATATGTATATTTTCCTCCTTGACACTACTTGATTACCACATCAAGTGTATTTTTGTACATAGTATATATTGGTTAGAAAAATGTAGATTGTCTACTCAAAGGATTCTATCTCTATGATAGGTTATATTTATTCTAATCTATTGATACCTTTGTTAATTTCTTTTAAGAGATAGAACTCTATTTTTTTGGAATTTGCAGAGAACTGCATTCATGGCTTCCGATGGGTAAATATGCTAAGGGTATTTTAATAAATCTTGGTTTCATGTCTGTCTGGTGTGCAGTGCAGATTTATTTTCAGGAGGCATTTTGGAAAAGTATTCCAACAGTACTCTACCTTCGAGAAACCAGTCACTTCTAACTTCCATTGCTGCCCAAGCTCCACATTACTACTGAGCTGCAAGAGCTGGGTCTCAGTAAACCTGTCATTCATATTTCCTTCTTTCTGCCCCGTCCATCCCACCAGCCATGGCCAACCTGCCAAGGCATAAAAGGCTAACACCAAACACACAACCCAGCCAGGCATTGTCTCAGCTAAGCTGACCCAAAAGCAACACTACCTAAACATGTATTACCCAAGATGGGGTGAGTGAGAGGAGAACCACGGGGATTGGTGACTTCAAGCTGTGGATTGGTAAACAATATACTAGGGAAAGAACAGAATGTGGTATTGTAGTCCAGCGCTCAGCACAAGGTACAAATTCTTTTCAAGCAATAATATGACACTTGTAGGTATCTATGAACAAAAAAACTAAAATACTTCCAGCAGAATATACTTCTGTTTAAATAGAAGTGTGATTATTTTTTTATTAAATCTTTATTGTTCAGATTATTACAGTTGTTCCTCTTTTTTCCCTCCATAGCTCCCCTCCACCCGGTTCCCACCCCACCCTCTGCCCATACCTTATACCCGCACTGTCCTCATTCATAAGTGTACGATTTTTACCCAGTCTCTTCCCACATCCCCCACACCCCTTGATTATTTTTTAATTGATTAATCTGTTCAGTGTTCCTGAATGCCATGCACTCCTGAGTTCTAGAAACTTGCTGAAATATGCCCAGGAAGATATTGACATTTAGTGAACAGACAATTATTATCTGGGGAGACATTTTATCACTAGAAAATCTTCTAAATTATAGTCATAGAGTTTCTTTGACATTGGATAAAATCTATTTCACAGAGTAAAAACTACTGAGGTTCAAGAGACTTCACTTTTAGTGAACATATCAAAACTAGAATCCAAATCCTTTGACCCCCAAGGCCAAAGCCCCTCCGAGAGGTTCAACTCATTTACCACATTAATTGTTGTCTTCTTCCATATTCCCTTATTGAGACATGTTCTAGAGCTGTTGGTGGAAAATAAGGGACCCAATGATCCTAAGAGTTTGTAGAAACCATTATTAAAGTTGTGTTCTGAATTAGAGCTCCTAGGAGAGAGTGGAAGCCTGTGTATCATAGGGACCTAGGAAATATATCAACCCACCTTAGGAAAACTCCCCTCTGGTTCCACCAAGGCTTACTCTCCTTTGCTGAGCATAGTGATACCTGTTGAATTTATACGTATACATTTTTTGTCTATTCTTTAAATAGCCTGTGTTTGCTGGTGGTCCAACTAATAGGCGATAAATTCCTAAGACTAAATATTCTACTTTGGACTTTGCCACTTTTCCCCTGGCTGTGATGTATTCATTGAAATAAAAGACTTGAAAGTTGGCCTGCCTGCCCTGGCCCCGCCTGCATGGATGCCTGCATGGCTTTGGCTGCCTCTGAGTCAGTCTCCCCAAAGTAGCATTTGCTTCATGCCCATCATTGTGTGATGATGAATGGTAAGAGATGGTAACTATGTTACTTATCTCTTGCTGCATAACAAAATACCCCAAAAACTAAGTGTATTAAATCAACAATAATCACTTCTTTTTTTGTGGTTTTTATTAGTATGAGAAGAGCTCAACAAGGCAGTTCTCACTTGGAATCTATAATGGTTGTAGTAATATGTCCATTGGGTCTGTAATCATCTGAAAGCTGGAATGCTTGAATAGGGCTGGGATATGGCTGACTCACTTGGCTGCCGAGTTGGTGCTGGCTCTAGGCTGGGGGCCTCAGTGCCTCTCCATGAGGCTGCTTGAGTGATCCAAGGTGAAACATTTATGCTTTTTTGACTAAGGCCCAGAACTCATACACAGTCACTTTCATCATATTCTATTAAGGTTTAAAACATTCTTCAAGTACACAGATAATTATCAACCATAAAGATAGATAAATTTCACTATTTTAAAAGTAAGACCTTCTCTTTATCCAAAAATATCTCTAAGGCACTGACCATGTGAAGATATTTGCAATACATATGCCTGATAAAGGACTCCCATCAGAATACAGAGAGAACTTTTAGTATAAATTCATACTAAAAGATCCCCAAATAATGTAATAAAAGAATCAACAAGAAACTAAATAAAAGATATCCAAGTGGGCAATACATTTTTAAAGATACTCAACCTCATTATTGATCAGGGAAGTCCAAATTAAAATCACAATGAGATATCACTGTGATTACAGGATAGGGCAAAAGTAGGTTTATAGTTGTTTGTATGGAAAATAACACAATCATTAAAAAATAATAATACAAGAATAAACTCTGTTTCATGTACTCATAACTGTAAACCTACTTTTGCCCCACCCTGTATGCACCAGAATGGTTGAAATTAAAAAGACTGTCCATACCCAGCATTGGTGAGGATGCAGAACAAGGAAATTCTCATACTGTTGGAGAGAATGGAAACTGAGACGGCTACTTTAGAAAAATAGTTTGGCATTATCTACTAAAACTGAGCAAACACTTCATGATCTAGCAATTTCCTTCATAGATAAATGCTCAACAGGAGTGCAAGCAGTTTTGTACAAAGATACACATTCAACAATGTTTAAAGCAGCCTGATACATAATAACCAGAACTGGAAATGAGTTAGGTTTCCATCAAAAGTAGAATAAATAAAAAATATATTGTGATAGATATTCATATATCAGATGTCATACAGAAATGAGGCCAAATGAATGACAGCGACAAATAACATAGGTAAGTCTCATAAAAGAGCTACTGCCCCACTGGTGTGACTCAGTGTTTAAGCATCAACCTATGAACCAGGAGGTCATGGTTGGATTTCTGGTCAAGGCACATGCCCGGGTTGGGAGCTCCATTGGCAGTAGGAGGTGTGCAGGAGGCAGTCGATAAAGGATTCTCTCATCATTAGTTTTTCTATCTCTCTCTCTCCCTCTCCCTTCCCTCTAAAACCAATAAAAAAAATTTAAAAAATATTTACTGAAATATAACACAATATTCCATACATTTCATTTATATAAAATTCAAAAACAAAAATTATCATCTTTGCACATGCATACTGAGATTTTAAAACTATAGAGAAAAAGGACTATCATAAAAATTAGGATAATGGTCATTTTGGGGGAGAAAACGTGATTGAGTAGGAGCATGACTGGATACATAATTTGACAGGCCCAGTGCAAAACGAAAAATTATTCACAGATGATGAACAATTTCAAAATACTGGCAGCAGAGCATTAAGCCGAGCGTGGAGCCCTCTCCAAACACAGGCTCCTGTCTCACAGCCACGAAGCCGCCTAGGTAGCGCCACAAAAGGCCTCCGCAGTGCCAGCAATATTACAAAGGTTTTTGTTTATGAATAACTCAACAAACTTTGTTTTTGTGTATTTTTCTGTGTTCATATGATAAAGCATGATGAAGAAAGGAGATGTTTAAAAAGACCAATGCAAAACAAAACACAGAAGCCACCATGTCATTCCAACCCAGGGAGCCTCAGGGACTAATGCAGATCAGACTATGTGGCCAAAAATACACAAATAATTTGAAAAGCACTACATTCTGCACTGGGCGGCTGAGTCCTTGTCACAGCTCTGCTCTGTGACTTAAGGCCAGTCGCTGGACCCGTTAGGATCTTCCTTTCTCAGTCTGCCAAATGTGCACTCACTCCTCCCTATCTCACAAGATTGGAAGAATCAAAAGATACCAGAGTAGCACCTTAGAAAGAACAAGCTGCTGTGCATTATAAAACAGTAGGACTGGAATATTCCTAACACTTTTTCATTTTTAAATATCTGCTGCTATGTAGAGCAGATGATTTCCATTTAAGTGGGGTCCCCTGGCGCCCTTGCTCACGGTTTGCTTTGGGCGAGGCCAAGGGACAGCAATGGCGTGTCCAGGCTCCTTTGCATTCCTGTGCACATTGGGATCCCAGGATTGGAAAGGCCACACTGAAATACCAATCTCGGTCCCTAGCCGTGATCTTTCCCTCCTGCAGAATCCAAGGAAGCACCCCATTTCACTGCCCACAGCACCGTGCCACCTGCAGACCAGCCCTCATCACTGAGGGTACCCAATTGTATCTGCCAGACTGGGAAACAGAATTGCATGAGTACAAATTGAGGTTCTGGTTTTTTGGAATAAAATTTCATAGTCCCTGTACAGTTATTTATCAGACTGTCTAAAATAATTGGATCATACAGTTAAAACCTCTTCGCCATTCTTTCAATACAATGGAGGTCTTCATTCAGCTGGGTTGAATTCTAAGGTTTTTGGAATAGGATGAACGTGCAGAGAAGAGGCAAGTGGGCCCCAGGTCTCAGTAAGCAGTCATTTTAAGAGACCGCCACATGGAAGATGAAGTCAGCCACATCCACAGTCCCATGACTGCTGAGAGTCTATCTCCATGTACACCTATTTGAATATCATCCTGTAATTGCTGACACCACAAATTTTTTTTTAAAGTGCTCTTGCTACCATTTTGTCTGTAATGCTCTTGGGTATACAGACTGGGTCTTATATTTTCTTCATATTTTTAAAAAATATCTAGTACAGTGCTTTGTGACCATGGACCACAGAGGACAAAGTATTAGCGAGACCTGGATATTAGCCGTGCTGAGGGTCTTCTTTGGCTCCCAATTGCACAGCCTTTCCTGACTAAGGTTTCTAAAAGCCTGTCTTGGGGGCATCCCCATCTGATTTAAAGCTTCAGCTGTGGCCATTGTTCTTATTTCATAACCATAAAGCAGAAAAAAAGTGCATTTAGAGCCTAATACCTGATATCCAAGGAAATGACTGAAAACGAACTGGAAAATCTGATGGATGTATTGACTCAAAGGGACTCCACTCCCACGCTGCCACGGTGCGCCCACGGGGAAAATCAGCCTTTGCTTTTTGTAATTCCTCACCTTCCCGAGCCCTTTTGCAGCTGTCCTTCCTTCTGGGAGGAGTTCAGAGGGATTCTTGGGGAGAAGAACTCAGAATTCTGCTGTAATCACTTTGCAAACCCTTCTTACAGATAAAAACCCTTCTGGTCCTCCTGACTCACAGGCTGGGAGGCTGGGTGGGTTTTGTTAAGTGCACAGAGCTGGGGAGAAGGTGTCAGGAGATCTGAGTGCCAGTCTTGCCTTTGTCTCAGACTGGTAATGAGTCTCCCAACAAGTCTTCATCCTTTAGCTCAACTTCCTCATCCTGAAATACCAGTGTTGCCTGGCTGCCTCACAGGGTGATTATTGGGCTCAAATAAGATCTGACTGGGAAAGGCTTTTTAATCTAGTAAAATGCTAAGTCAGTATGAGTTCACCTAATATTCCAGAAGAGAAAACAGAGATGAGTGGAAGCCATGCCTCCTCAAAGTCACAGAGCTTTCATGGAAACGCACTGAGCCTTGAACCCCTGTTCCTGCCCTCCTCTGGTGTTCCTCTCAGAACAGGCTGCCTTCTTGGGGCAATTTGTCCCGCATTTGACCTCCTTGAAGGAAGGAACTGGGCTAAATGTTTTC